TTTCCCTGCCTACCACATCTTTACACTGCAGCCATATCTTTTTCCTTGGTTATGTGGAATGATGACAGCCAGACTACAACCCAAGGCAATGGTACCCTACTCTGCATGCCACATACCATGCCCTAAGGCCTGTCTGGAGGATGTTATCTACACACCTTCTCACTATTATTGCCTCCACTGTTGGATCCCCTCATCTAGCTTCCCATTCCTCGGTCCTGTAGCCTCCAAGGTAGCTTATCGGAGGGATGCTGTTTATCCCTGTCCCAGCCAGGCTTAGAGCAAGGACAAGTGTTTAGAGGAACATGAAAAGGGTGTTTCCAAAGGCCACTGAGGCAAGAGAACACATACACGTTGCCAAGTGCAAAAATATTTTATTGCTGTCAGGCCGAAAAACTTTTTCCCTGTGTAAACTGGCCTGGCCTGACAGAGAGAGGCTGCTGGCAAGACATGCCCCTGAACACCAGCCCTCAGTTAACAGCCCTCCAGAGCCTGGATTCCCCATTGGAAGACTACAAAACAAGACAAAACATAAAAAAAGCTGACTGGCTTGTCAGGGTCAGCTCATATTACAGCAGTCCAAGAGCATGAAGAAACAGCTTCCCCTGTCACTGAGACTGAATTTAACTGGACATGAATCTAGCTCCTCTGCCTCTTCCTCTGTTCCTACTCTTGCAAATCTTGTCACACCAAGTCTCCGAAAGAGACAGGCAGTCTCTGAAAAACTAGCATGTTATCACAACACCAGCTTTGGCATTGGCCCACGCAGTGCTGCCACGGGCAGCTTGGGTAATATGCTCTAAATTAAACCACCACAACTGCAAAACTTTCTCCAAGAGAATTTAGCAGTGCGTCCCTGCAGAACTAGAAGGGCCTGTGAATGGGGGTCTTACAGACTCTGGTTAGCCTGGGTTTGGTTAATACTGTTCTTAACAATTTGGATAGTGTATAGAGTATAAGCTCACATAGTTTTCCAAAAACACCAGGCTGGGAGAGGTTGCAAGCATTCAGAAGGACAGGATCAGCATTACCTACAATGATCTGGCCCCCTGAGGACAAAGTCTAAAATGAACTAATGAAATTCAGTGAGGATAAACACAAAGACATCCTCATAGACAGAGAAGAAGATACCAAACAAACTACTACAGGATAAATTTGTCTAAGCTGCAGGCATACTGAACAAGATCTGGGGGGCAAAATGGATCATAAATTACATATGTGTCAATAGTATGCTGTTTCTATACAAAGGCAGACATCATTCCAGGATGAACAAGGGCGTTCCTTGTAAGACCCATGAAGCAGCCTTCTACTGCCCTTAGCAGTCAGAAGGCCTTTGCAAAAGTACCAAGTTCAATTTTGTCCACTCTGTTATAATCAAGGTGTAGATAAATTAAAGAGATTCCAGAGCAGAGAAACAAGAAGCACAGAAGGTAAAAACATCCTCTGTAAGCAAAAGATAAAGGAATTGGCTTTGTTTAGTATAGAAGAGAAAAAGAAAAAATTAGGCAGAAAATGGTAGCCGTCCTCCAATAGCTTCCAGGAAGGATGGTAATTAATTGTCCTTCATGACCAATGAAAAGAACAAGGAGAAAAAAAGATTTAATTTGCAGCAACAAAGATTTAGGTTGAGCGCCCTTGCTTTGGCTTATTCTTTCTGGAGGAGCCTATCTCTGTTCACTGATAATATACGGAGTAACCTCCTTACTAGGTAGAGTGTGCCTAATGATAGGTGACATAAATATCACTTGTGTGTAACAAAATACATTTCTCTGGTGTTCCTCAGCCGCCACTAAATCTAAGGTTTCTGCCTCAGACATTAGAAGGTTTTGCATATCAGGAGGTGCTAATAAGACAGTAAATACATGAAAAAAATACTTAGAGAAAAGTGAGAACTGTCATGTTTACAATGACAAAATTGCTCATCTTTCCTTAGCTTTGTCGCCAGAAATGGTTAATTATGGCATGAAACACTATTCACATAGAATTTTAAAAATAGGGGGAAAAAAGCATCGAGCCTGTAGGCTAGGAAAGAAGCAGAGATACCCCCAAAAGATGAAGGTTTAAAAGGCTGCAAGCAAATGGAAAAAAAACAAGGATCTCTTAAAATAGGAAGTGTCAGACAATTTCTTTCAAAGGCATCACTTACTATAAACTCTTCCTAGAGGGATATGTGCTATAGGACAAATGTAGTCATATGTGAATATGTGACATTTCTAGCTTATGTCAACTTTCTCTTGTGCAGGATATACATGGCCTCTACCCACTAAGCTCTGTGCTGTTTGGATCTACTTGGATGTGCTTTTCTCCACTGCATCCATTATGCATCTCTGCGCCATCTCACTGGATCGCTATATTGCCATTCGAAACCCCATCCATCACAGCCGCTTTAACTCAAGAACCAAGGCTTTCGCAAAAATAATTGCTGTGTGGACCATATCAGTCGGTAAGTGAGGCAATATTTCAGCATGTAATTGCAGATTTCTAGCTTTTGATAGGATCTGACATATATTTTGCAGCCTAAAACTGTATTCTCAGCCAGCAATATTTTGCTTGCCACAGTCTAAGAAATGCTGTAATGCAGTAATTATGCAACAGAAATCAACAGTGCCAACGGGATTTGGAGCAGAACTGAGCAGCACTGTCAGAGAAAGAATATATATCAGCATTAGAACAACTCTGTTCAAGTTTATTTTAAAGATGTGTTTATTTCCCATATTGATTATTCATCATTACCTTAATACGGGAAAAGAAAAAAATATTGGAACTGGAAAGATTTCCCTGTTTTATTTACGTCAACTGTTCGTATCTTCTCATGAAGGTAATTTGCTTAGAGATGTCTCTTACAGGTGGATCTTTTCTGCCTTTCTTGGTGCACAGGGAGGGGTGTTTATCCCAACCCATTTAGATATTCTACACACACCATGAACGAGAGAAGCTTCCCCACAGGATAGTTCAGAGCTGCAGCCTAACACAGGTGCCCCGAATCACTTAGTAGATGACTCTCTCTTTGCATTGACTTAAAATTAGGCTTGGAAGTGTTACTTGGTAGCAGCATCCTTGGTCCAGAACTGTTTTATGGCATGGGAAGTGGAAAAAGTTTGGTCTCTGATACCATCAGGGATTTTCTCATAGTCCTAAGGCAATGATTCTCAGAAACGTTGAAAGCACGGTCCCCTTTTGGCTCATCTGTTTTTGTACAGCCCCTGAGTATCGGCAGCTTACTTATTCAGAAGCAAGAGAAGTTCACTCTCTTGCCCTGGAAGAGATGACTGTCGCCAGTGATTAAAGGTAATTAGCTGCTTCCCTGGCTAATATCAATTAATGTGAGTGGTAATTGTAGCCAGTTATCATTCTTTCGAGGGGAAGGAAAAGAGATGAGGCCTAACGCTGCCACTTGTCTGCCCTTTTGAATTCTTCCCTGGCCCTGCACTTGATGCTGGCCCAGAGTCTGCGAAAAAGCAGTCCAAGATGTTTACGGCTTAAAATAGCTGTATCTTCTGCAGTACAGGAAGAGATAGTGAGAGCCCTCTCTCAAGGAGAGGACAGCTCTGCATGTTCCAACGCGGAGAACCGGCTGGGTTTAAAAGCGTTACGTGTGACTCTGGGGTGCGTTCAGCCGAACAGATGTAGATGTCGAACACAGGCCAGATGAACTGCACCCTAAAAATACCTACTCCTCTACTAGCTATAAACGAAGCCTAGAGCGTCTTGCTCAGATGTCGACGTCTTCATTTAGATGAGATGAGTCATACCTTATATTTCTACAGTCACATTTTTTACTGACCCAGTAAAAAAATATATTACTTGCTCTGTCCAGTTTTTCCAGTCTTGGATCCCTCTAACTGCAAACATTTTCAGTGTATTCTCCTTATATAACATAAAAAAATAAGAAAGACCCCTTTCCAAAAAAAAAAAAGTTAGATCAAGTGTTCATTAACTTTGCACTTAAAGCATTTGTCTGTATCTGTGTGTGGTGCCTATGGTTAGTTCGTATGAGATTACTGTACTTTTTAACCATTAATAAATTAACAAATTCACAGAAAGGTCAGAATCACCATTCCAGAAGCAAACCAGTGGTCCATGCAGCTCAGCGTGTTACTTGAGACAGTGGCTCACCACCAGAGTGTCTAAATTATCGCATTACTAAAATACATCCCTAAAAGATCATTCCTTAAGGCCCATTAGTTAGAACATGGTGCATAACCTGAAGTAGAAGGGTTTAACTCCTTGATATCTTGATACTTAATTTCAAAAGTTAGGAATATTCTTTGCAGGAATAACAAAAAAAATTAGCCGTTGTAAAAACTCCTTTTCTGCTCTCTGGAGACTTTTTTTCTACCAGTGAGCAGTCAAGCTGCAGATGTTATTTGTTATTACAGTGGCAAGTGATAGCAATGTGGTCCTTATTGATATAACTCTGAAAAACACAATTCCTCACTTTATGGGCAAGCACTCAAGCGTAGCATAAGTGAAGAGGACAGAGTCTTGCTTTACTGTGGTTGGATAAGGACAAATGTAAGGTAATGATGAATGTTAGGAAAATAGGTAGGCTGATAGGGTTAAATCCACCTCATTCACACATCAAATGTCATCAAAACAGCAAGTATATTAAATAATACAAATGAATCCAGGCAAGTGCACTGAGTTGTGCAGGGAATAAAGTGCTGCTTGAGCTAGTTTGCAAGCGGCATGAAAGCAAGCGGCATGGAGAGATGAACTGAAGGAAGAAGAGTTAATTCCCAGTCTGGCAACTGTGTCATGGATGATTTCTGGCAAATGTGATGTCCTTTGGAAGAAAGACAGGGAAGCAAACACACAACAAGCTACAAAAGCTGCTGAGCTGCCCGCTGCCAGGCCAGACCGAGTTTGCACCACGGCTTATTGCTATACCAACAGAATAAAAAAAAAATACCAGTACTATTAGAAATCTTGACAGATCCCAGACCTCCCATGAGACTAAGTGCCAACCAGTTATTGGCCCTGTCCTCCTCGTCTGCCATGATCTGACCACAACAGATACGAAGTGGTTTCTGAAGAACAAGGCACTTTATATATCATTTACTAATAGGAAGTGGTTTCTGAACAAAGAGGTGCTTTATCTATCATTTACCAATCTCCAGGCTCTCAGTGCTACTTATAGTAGCAGGCCTATAAATTATTTAACTCTTTGCATTTTCACATAGCTACAGCTAGCACAGGCAGAGCCAGTGTCAGGCACAAGGTGCTCTCTGCAGCGCACAGAGTTTGGCTGCCATTTCACTGGGAAATTATGAGATGCACCAGTTTCTCAAGGTTTTGCCCTCCTGTCTCACTTCAGATATCCTTTGGCTCCCCCTTGCTCATGCAATTTGCAGCTGAGCTGGCACCCTGGTTCCTCCTGTGAACTTCCATGATGTATGAGATGGCGAGTGAAAGAGTGAGAGAAAGAAATGAAAGGCACCATGTTCCCCTGCAAAGAGGCTCACTTCACTTGAAGAAGAGGGGGAAACCTGTCCATCAGAGCATCTCTGATAGCTCCCTCAGTCTCAGAATCCTTAGTGTATCCTTTTTCACAGTCCCCTTCAATCATTGCTTTTACCAGGCTGAGAGGCCCCGTCTATTTAGTGTCTGTTAGTGTGGAAGGATCCCATGCCCAAGTGGTCTTTGCACCCTGCTCTGTATCTTTTCCAGTACTTCTACCTCCTCTTTAAGACATAGGTGGCCAGACTGCCGTATTTAAGATGTGGCCACACTGCAAATTTATGTGGTGTCATAACTTTTTCTGTGTTGTTATCAGTTCCTACCTTCCTAAGTCCTGTCATTCTGTCTGTCTTAATGATCAGCTCTGAATACTGAGCTGACATTTTCAGCTCAGTGACTCCAAAAATCTCTTTCCTGAGCAATAATAGGCAATCTGGCACACATAAGTAGGGTCAACCTCCCACCACACACACATACGTCCAATTTTTTGCTGCTTAGCGCTGAATTTTGCCTGCTCCTTTATTGTCCATCAGCTGAGGTTTATGACCACCTTCTACAATTCTCTACAGTCAACGGCTGTGTGTTGTCAGCAAATTTATACTCACCTTAGTTCCACTGCCTATGCAGTTAATGAACGGGCTGAACAGCACCTCCCTAACACAGATGGCTGTTGGATGCTACCATCCATAACCCTCATCGTGAAAAGAACCATTTAGTCCTACTCTTTGTCTTCCAACACAACCTTTTTCTACAAAAGGATCTTGCTTCTCGCGCCATTAGAGCTTAATTCTTTAATAGGCTTTGATCAAACAGCGTTGTCAGAGACTTCTGGAGGTCTAGGAACATTGCACCAGCTGGATCACCCTTATCCCCTTGCTCTCTGACTTCTCCAAGTTATTTGAGCTGATCTGTGGGACACGGCTTGCTTTCTCTGCAGAAGTTCTCCTGATGCCTCCCAGTCTACCAATGCCTCTTTCATTGTGACTTCTACTAATTCACCTAGGTAATAATGCTTTTATCCACTAAATTTCTTTTTTGTTCATTGCATTTTTAGATTTTCCTTTTATTCACTATTTTTTTAATTTTACTTTTATGCACTAAATTCACATTTTTTTTAAGTGAGTTTAATCCAAAACCCATTCAAGCAATGGTCTTCCTTCCATTGGCTTCAGTGCTGTGTGAAGTATTTCAAATACAAAGAATGTAAGAAAGGACAGGCAATTTCACTTAGGTGACTTCTGAAATCTTGACTTTTTTAGAAAAAAAAATTGGACTAACATTTATTTTTGCATTTAGTGGCTGCATTTTGCCAGCAGCCCTTCTTTCACTAGACCATGTAATGCCACAGGCAATTGGTTTAAAATGGATTCTAATTACTGTAACAGATTCTAATAGTGTCTTTAATTTTTAAATCATCCAGTACCACCAGTGGCTGGATAATTAGATTATTTGTAGCTGTTGAAAGCAAAAGCGCATTAAACCCTGAAAATTATTCCATTTGTTTTAAAGCACAGAGGTCATTATGAGAATAGGTGTAAAGGACCCAAATATTTTCCCTCCGTAGGAAAATTAGAGCTGAATTTGTTCAGTAGCATTTAGCTGGAATCTATAGAATTACAAATAAAGCCTAAGCTGAAAAATACAGGTAAAACACCTTTGAGTTCTAAGTGGGCCTAAGAAATGTTTTGTTCTGTAGGAGGCCAAAAATGTAGCGTTGTCTCCTTTAAAAACCCTTGAAAAAGCTACATAAAGGAGTTAAAGTCATGAATTTAAGCCCTTATATATAATCATTCCTCAGTCCTTATTTCTCTCTATGCCTCTGTTAATGGTCTAAGTCATGGGAAGTTTGATGAAGCCCAAATCCTCTTAGCTGAGTTTTCTCTTATCATTTCTTGCTCAGCCTACACATCTGTTCATTGCCTTCAGGCAGTCTCTGCTCTCCCCAGTCACCAACTTGGATTTATTCAGTACTTTTCATGCAGA